ATTAGCTAAAAATAAAAAATATTACCTAAAAGCAAAGTATATTCCACTTTAAACTATTAACAGTATAACTACATTGTGTGAAGAAACTGATTACATACATATTAAGATAGGTTATTCACAGTTTTTCTACAGGTACTGTTGTATACTCTATGCTTTGCTCAGTAAGTAACTGTAGGTTCCCCTGGAAACTGTCAACCACAAAGTCTCCAAACATTTCCAAAATCCTCTCTCCTCCATTAAAATTCATTGATTACTCATTCAATTTGAGAATGTTTAAGATCTAAAATTTCGTGTTCCAAATGTTTCATGCTCTAAGTTTCTCAAATTCAGTCTTAATTGTAAGTCTTAATACAAAAAAGATACTTGTTATACCTTACAAGGGGATTTCTTTCAAACTTTTGTTAAGTGACAGTCACAGAAGCATTTAAAATCCAATCCAACTTAAATTTTCTTTTCTTTTATTTCTACCTAACTTCTGACTTCACATGGGGGGTGGGGGTGAGTCAGGGTCTTGCTTTGTAGCTCAGGCTGGTCCTGAACTCTCTGTGTAGTCCACGCTAACCTCAAACTCATACTCCTGCCTCGGCTTCCCAAGTGCTGTGATTATAGATGTGTGCCACTACACGCAGCTCTACACTTTTCTGAAGTACAAAGCAACTCCATAAAACAATATCCATTAGGCTACTTAGGAAAGTCTATGACTTGCAGGATAATTTTTCTACTGACCAAGACTAAAAGAATCTTTAAGCTATCAGAGAAAGGTTTAGCAGTCTATTCAATTACCTATAATATTAATTGTTCTAATAAATAGTAAACTGTTCTTCATACTTCAACATGAATTAGTGCACTGCCCCAGTCGATGGGGATGTTTACTTCTATTACAGAACCATAAATACTGTATACTACACAAAAATTATTTGCAGTCATTCCTCTTCCTCAACTGAATGAGAGATGTTTCCTATATAATAGTGACCTCCAAAGAAACTCACTCCAATATACAGGCCAAAGGGCAGAATCAAACACTCCAAAGTAATAGATTCCTTCCTGGATTGGGAGTCAGAAGAGAGATGACATCCAAAAAGACTCTTTGGACATATGTCACTAATTATGGAGTAAAACTTCCCTGGAAAAAGTGAAATACAGAAATGAAGATTAAAATCTAATTGAGCAAATAAAGTTTTGTTCAACTTAAAACTTTAAAAATAAAACTATGCTCCCCTAATCCCTTTGAGTAAGTTTGTACATTTCCACTAAAATAAAGTTACGACACTGCTTTTTACAGAATTTTCCTTGTTATTGCATCCATAAAGATCTAAAATATCCATTTCAAATTATAGCCATACTTTGAGGATAATAACTTTGTTTTATCTTTGGTATCATTTGATAAAGTGGACAAATCAAATAAATGTTAAACGCTGTAAAATATGCAAGTATCAAAAAATAATATAAGCACTGAAAATCAAAGGACATTTTCTGGGTTATAATACAGTTAACAATCCACAATGAAACTTACAATATCATAATACTATCACGTAATACATTTAGGCTCAGAATTTGACAGAATATACGTCAGCTAGCACGAAGCTAAAAAACACTAGAAAGCATTTAACAAATTCTCTACACTTTCAGTTGGGGCACTTAACTACTGTCCCAAGATTGTCAGGTAGGTCAAGAAAGTGATCTCCCCTGCTCTCAAGATAGTTAAGTATACATAGCAGCCTGCCCTGAGATGTCAGACCCAGTTGTCTCCACATTTCATGTGTTTATTTCATGCCTATACAACAATGACTGTGGTCTACATGTTTTATGACTGACAAAGAGTTGAGAGATCCTGCGCAGACAAATTCACCTGCATATACAATTATCTCTAGGGAAATACTGAAGAAAAAACATGTTATACTTAACCCATCATTCTTACTCAAATCTAGGTTTGGAATTTCTACCTAAATTTAACAGCATATATTCTTCTTTTTTTTAAAATCTTTATCAATCTCCCAAATTTTTTTCCAAAAACAAGATTTCTAGTATATTTGATTTGATTCCCACTTTCTAAGATATTTACAACCACCTAGGAAATGTGTCATAAAATAGACCTCTGTGATTTATCATTACAGAAGTCTACTCAAGTAGTGTCTCTTTCTATAGAAAATCATCAAATTGGCAAGAGAAATAAATGTAATTAGAATGTCTAAAAAGGGAGTCTAAAAAGAACTAAAATCTAAGAACAAAATTAGGACAGCAAATACTGCCTATGTAACCCAGACTTCTTAATTTATGGCTCACAAAAACATTGACTTTTTAGAGTAATTTTTTCAAAATGAAATCTTAAGTCATTTATGTAACTGAAATCCTTTAACAATGTCACAAGCCCTATAAGATGAAACCCAAACTCCCTAAACTGTAAATCACTAGAAGCCTGATTTCCTCTTTTACAATCTCCCTTTTCATCTCTATAATTGAGAATGATCAACTACTTAGAAATGCCTCTCTCATATGACTTCATCTACCCAGAATTCTTTATTTTATCCTGTGCTACTCTCTACACTTACTCTTCTCATAAAAACAGCTCAAATTTCATCTAAAAATATTAATGCACATAATAGCTGCCACATACTAGGGACATTACTCAGAACACCCAAAGATGTACAATATTTACTTAGCACCTGACTGCATGGACTAGGTCTTTAGCAGTAGGAATAAAACAGTATTTTTCTTCAAGAAGCATACAGACTAGAGAGAAGTAAGTGCAAATAACAGATGATATTAATACTGAATGCAGATACTAGACTGATACAAGCAGAATGCTACAGTGAAGTCCAAAGAGCTCACCTAACAAGGGAAGTGGTACAGGAATATAGGATAAGGGAGGTGGTTTCCAAAGAAGTAGGAACTAACTAGAAGCTCACTTACAAAGAAAAATCTTAAACATCAGATAAGGAGTTTGGGCTTTATTATAATACTAGTAGTTAGATTCCAATGGCACTATTCATTCTCTGTAACCCCATTGTTCACAACAAACACACAGAATTAAACATACTTTTATAGTTAAAATCTAAAAACAAATCACTAAAATGACATATCTATGCCCTCAAATATGTTAAACATCTCTATGGATCAGAAATGTAATAGGAACATGAAGTGAAGCTGAAACCACTTTGGACCCCCAACACTATTATGTACAGTTATTCAAGGGTGAAATGTGCAACACAGCAGGACATTTCACCCTTAGAATAACTGTAAATAATAGTGTTCCCTATTAAGCAGGCTCAATAGCCAGGCTCTTTGCTAAAAACCAGGCACTGAGATAGCAGTCTTTCTCCAGTACGAAATGGAGTGAAAAAGGCTTCTGCTAACTGTGCTGAGGGTACAGTTTACAGAAAGTTACTGACCTAATGCCAGCTAGCTGACTTACTAATCTGTGATGCCCCCAACATCACCATTGGAGTCAAGAATCTAACTAACACACACAGAATTCTGATCTGGGAACTCCAAAGGAAGGCAGAGACAACTACATCTGCTGCATTAGCAGAGGGAATCACAAAAAAAAAAAAAAAAAAGAAAAAGAAAAGGTGACACACAACAAAGGAAAAAATAAAATCTTCAAATAGAATGTGCCTAAAAAATTACACAACACGATAAAACCATCAATATCAACAATCACAACATAAATTCACTGCATACAACATTTCAAAATAATCCAATAATCTGAAAAAACTCTTAACACATTAAAAAAATCCAAAAAGAGATAAAGGAATGATAGAACCAAAAAGTGTCAAAATAAGCAGCCATGAAAAAGAACTAGTAGACATAAAAAAGAAGCAATTAAAAATACAGCAAATGAAATACAATCTAAGTTTTAAAAAAAAAAAAAAACCTTAGAAAGCAAAAGCAAATTTTCACATTCTAAAAATGCATTTTAAAGTTAAAATTCTTTCCATTCCTATTATAATCTTCATGAACTCCACCATCTTCAATTGAGTTGGCACTTTTATTAGACAGGCAGTCTCATAAAGTTTCATAAATGAACTGAAATAACAAAGATGCTTCTTTCCTAATCCGCAGCTGCACTTCTTTATTTGACATATACCAACTGAGAAAGCATATCACTAGAAAGTCTTCAAAGTCAAATCCATGTCTCACAATATTTTTACTAAGATTCCAAGATTTCACAATAGCAAGTTTCATTTTCATTTACCAAGTGCCTCATTTTACTAATGAGAAAATTCATATTATTCATATTCATATTCATATATTCATATTATTTACATAAAACCAATATAAATAAGTGCTAAAACTTTAAATTCCCTAAAATTATATTCCAACAAGAAAATATTCTGTTCCTAAGTTTCTGTAATCAGAAAATCTGCACTTAAAATTTCCAGAAGATTCCAGTTAGGGTAAAATCTTATTTTTTCCTTACCCTCTAAAAGTAAACAACACAAATAGTAAAATCTACAAGTTGAAGTGAACGAAATGGACAGATGATGTTACATATACTATCTGCTTACACTGGAGAATATAAAATCTGTACCAAATCTGGTTAAATCCAAGAAGGTATTGGTTTCTTATTCCATGAAAGAAATTACCAGGGAAATTTTTGTTTTGCTTAAATATATTAATACATGCTACCCAATGATTACATTTCACACAATAAAATTTTTCCTAATTATGGTCAACTTCAATATTACCTTTTGTATTTTTAAAGAGTCACTCTCCAATGGCTAGCTAATAAAAAACTTTCAGATGACAGAATTAAATCAGCCAAGAAACTAGTGATTCATATTTCTTTATCACATGTAACTTCTTAGAATTAATCAAATGTCAAAAAGCATCTCTTTGTTTAAATAGAAACAAGCATGCAGTGTTGGAAAGAATCAGATTATGCAATCTCTAGAAAAAGTGACATAACTCCAATTTGTCCAGTAGCACATTTGCTCTTTTTTTTAAGTACAACATTGAAAATGCTCTTGAGATAACTCAAACAAAAGATACAGACTTACTCATGACTGGAAATGTCTCTGTATGTTGTTCCAACCAGCTATTAAACCAAAATCTGCTGTCCAAGGTTTCTCAGAGGAATACATGTCCTATTTCTGGAAACAAAAAAGAAAGAAATAGTATTTTCTAAAGATCTATACTAAAAATAAAGTTTTCTAAAAGAAACTTTTATTTCAAAAATTTTTCTGTTTTCAGAACCCCCACAATCATTATCAATTAAATATAAAAGATTATTAATCTCTAGAACATAATTTAATTCACATTTCCCTTTTTCTCAAACAAGTTGCCCCAAAAGCAAACAGTATTAAAAATTATTCAGAAATGTATTGGGGCTGGGGATTTAGCTCAGCGGCATAAGCGCCTGCCTTGCAAGCAGGCAGTCATGAGTTCGATCCCTGGTACCGATACAAAGGAAAAAGACCGGAAAAAAAAAAAAAAAAAAAAGAAATGTATTAAGGGGTATGCTTTGTAATCAGCACTAAAAACTTATTCCTTCCCAATTCCTAAGTAAATGAGAGAAAGCACTCCATTCTACAGTAATGTAGCACATCACATCTGCTAAATCTAAATGATTTGTATAAGCTACACATAAAGTAAATCATAAAAGTAATTTCTACAGATATTCTCCAATTATGGACATTTTCCTCATTATAAATACAATACTGGTCCATTGTAAAATAAACAAGAAAACCAAGAAAAATAACAAACTACAAAGAAAAAATTCTCTACAATTCAATAGTCCTACATTTACCCAATCATGTGAAGCATGTTTCCTTTCAAGAAATTTTTTCTATTTCTAAAATACACTTGATAAATACTACACTAAAATTTTTGTGTTTAGTTCTTTTCATTTAAGAGTACAAAGCATCATCTTGTATTACTATTAACACAAACTTAATAGTAATATTAATCTTATTGCTAAGATTTATGTCTTTCTCTCTCAATTACCATGTTTTTAAATGAGGTATTCGGTACTACTGCTATATTTAAACAATAGATTCATGAATGCCTACCTAAATCTAATGTATTAAATTCCACAAAAAAGATCAGACTTGATATAAAATTTATACTTGTGCTACTTTGTGTAAAGCATCCTTCATAAATCAATAAGCTACTATTTACAGAAATTTTTAAAACCTACTTCTTGCAATCACAAATGGTAACCATTATTTTCTACATCATTAAGAAATTAACAATATTAAAGCTTGCTGTTTTTGAATCACAGGGTAACAGTTCTTGAAGAAATAACGCTAGCTTCATCTATACACTTCACTCATTTCACATAATGTACGTTAAGAAGTACACATTTACAAAATGAAGAGCTTGCATTAGTACTTGTATGCGCAGTATGGTCTATAATTAGCACTGTAATTAGCAGTGACATATATTCATGGTTCTGCCACGTAATCACCCAACCCATGTATTTTCATCTTTATCTGGCCTATCATATATGATTTCCATTTCCAGAAAACCCAGTTATTCCAAATTAGAAGTTGTATGGAAAATCTAAAAGAAGATATAATCCACACGTTAGTTTCAGAATACACAATGGAAGAATCTTATGATAAACTTTTTTGGAGGAGTCTGATTGAGTCCATTACCTTTGCTTCTTTCCCCTCCTGAGGATCTCTGAGGTGGAACTTGCTGAGGAAGAATGGCAGTACTTGTTACCAGTATAAAAAGGAGATTAAGTTTACAGATGACCCAGGGGTCCACTTACATTTATACTTTCAGTCTAGTTTCTTTGCTGAGGGACTTTCCTCCTGGTTCATATTCATATCAACATTTTTTATTCTAAATATAAAATTCCCAAATGGTAACATCAAAGTAGAATGCAATGCCCTCTTTCTCCCCACAACCATAAGTAGCAGAATAAATATTAAATGACTTATATTAACACATCAAGAGTTTTCTCAGCACTGCTGTGGGTGAGGTGGTGCACACCTGTAAACTCAGCAATTCAGGAAACTGAGGTACTAAGATCACAAGTTCAAGACTAGCCCAAGCAACTTAGAGAGAGCCTGTATAATAAGGGGAAGGGAACTGGGGGGGGGGGGGCGACTCAGTGGTACAACTCCCTTGAGTTTTGAGTTCTCGTACCACAAAAACAGTTTTCTCAAACTAAAAATACTTCCTTCAAAAATACCTGAATAATAAAACTTAAAAACACAAGATTTATAATCCTGCCATCACAGATTTTAAACAAATGCACCAGGGTTTTACAGTTTACAAATACGTAACGTGTTAGAATTAATGTAAAACAGGGGTTCTTAGAAGCATTTATAAATGACTTACAAGTGAAGTCACTTAAGATTCTTTATGCTAACCACAGATTCAAAATACAATTTCCACTATAGGGCCGCGGATTTAGCTCAACAGCATAAGCGCTTGTCGCAAGTGCTGTCATGAGTTCGATCCCCGGTACCAAAAAAAAAAATTTCCACTACCTACTTTCAAGTAGTCTACCAATTCATTTAAGCAAAAAGGCATTCCAGTAGTACATAAGTAAAATATATATTAAAAAAAAAAAAAACTGTGTTCAAATGCCCTGTCTCCTCCCCTAAATGCTACCCTTTCCCACTAGACAAAAGAAGGAAAAAAACTTTCTTTTTTGCACCCCATTCGAGAGAAAATGAAATGGGTGCTAAATCCACAATTTCACAGATGAGTTATACAGTTCTGGATATTTCTAAAAAATCTGACCTCATTTTTCAGACACCGGCAATGGAGGTGTGGCCACATGCCTTATAGGAATGTGGGCTGATTGCATTAATTCCAACTAGAGACTGTTAAGACCACAAAGTTGACCTGCATTCTCCTGCACTGCACCAAGCCAAATGCACAACCCAGGCCGCTGCTAACCAACTATAAGGGTTAATCCTGATTCTCAATTTACTTGAATTAATTAAGAGGTACCTGGATGGACAGTTGGATTGTGAGGGCACTAACCCATCAATAGATTAATCCACTGACAGTTCATAACCAGATGAGCTGTTAGATGAGACAGAGTTAAAGGAAATGGGTCATTAGAGGTGTGCCTTTAAAGGATGTATCCCATCCCTGAATGGAAGCAGTTTTTTCTATCATGAGGTTTCTGCCTTGCCATAGATCTAAATAGTAATGTAGTTGGCCAGCGATCGACTGAAATTTCTCAAACTGTAAGCCAAAATAAAACTTTTCTTCCTTAAACTGCTTATGTCAGGTATTTTGTCACTATGACAAAAAGATAACAAATATACCAATTCACAACTTATAACCAAACTTCACCAAACGCAGCAGACTAAAGATCTATGAGTTAAAAACAAGTATCTGTGGTATGCCACTGCAATTCTGCAGTTGTTACATGCACTGTTACTGCCACATATGATCAATACGAGAATAAAAATAAATTTTCAAGATAAAAAGACTGTATTTAAAAGTCTAGCTATATACTATTCACAAACATATCTAAATCAGTAGAATACACAGAGACTGGGAATAAAAGCATTAAAAATTTGTATTAGGTGAATACCAAAAGGAAGAGATGTGGCAATAGAAATTCACATGTGCTACGATATATACTCAAAATGTCCATAGCAATGCTGTGTGCAATAGCAAAAAACTGAAATTTCCATCAGAAAAGTAAATAATTAGGATCAAGTATAATGAATCAGTGAAATGAACCAAAAGTGTGCATGTCAACAAATAAATTTCAAACATTGACAGCTACATGTACTATACTTATACATATATTCAATGACACAATACCAATGATGCAATGGTATCCCTCATATAATATTACAAAATAAAGTACACAATGCATTGTTCAGAGATAGCCACATAAGTAATGAACTCTACAAAGAAGCAAGGGAATCTTAGGCCACACCTTAAGGCTAATAGTTTCCTCAAACCAGCAGTAGAACAAGGGTAGGGAGAGTTATCTGAGAGGGGAAGAATAATGTTCTATTACTTAGGCTAATAGGGAGGATGGAATGGACATTATTATGTTAGTCTTTATGTAAATATATGACACAAAATTTTTTGTATGTTATATTTTATAGTATCTGAGAAAGCAAACATTTTTCCCAGAAAATGCAGCAAGTAAATTGTTATAAATAAAAGTAACATAAATGTACGCAACTGCATGTATAAAGGAGTTAAATGCAGGTACAACCTTTAGCCCAGTGTGGTGGCGCACACCTGTAATCACTGTACTTGGGAGGCTGAGACAAGAAGATCTTTGCAAGTTTGAGACTATCCTGGGCTACAAAGTGAGCTCAAGGCTAGTCTGACATAGTAAGATCCCGTCTCTAAAAAACAAAAAATGACGGGATTTAACTCAGCAGCATAAGCACCTGCCTGGCAAGTATGAGGATCCTCAATCCCCAGTACCAAAAAAAAAGCAGTTACAATCTTTAAGCCATACTTAAAGAAGCAGAAACAGTTGTAGTGACTCATTTATTCCTTAAAAATAAAGGACAATTACAAGTGATAGGCCAGATCTAGCACAAATTGCAAGGTAGTTTTTATGTGAAACGATTTATGATTAAACATTATCTGTGCCTAGAAGCAACTCTAAGAACTGTATCATTTGTGCTGTCTGATCTCAGCTGTCTGACCACTGAGGCTTCTGATCTCATCTTTACAGCTCTATAATCCTAGCTCATTTTCTAGTATAAAGTACCACAACCTGTTTTCCTAAACTGCTATTTGTTCAACTGCCATTCCCCTACCCTATCCCCAAAATGGAAGCCAAGGGAAAAAGGATGAGAGAGACGGAGGGGAGGGAGGAGAGTGGGAAATGGGGAAGAGTTAAAGGGAGAAAGCAGGGGAAGACAGACAGACAGACAGAAGCAAAAAATTACAGAGCTGAGTATAGTGATGGGTGGTTGTAATCGCAGCACTTGCAGGCAAAGGCAGGAGGATTCAAGTTAAGCCTAGTCTAGGCAACTCAGTAACTCAGGGAGTCCGTCTCTAAATAAAAATAAAAATAAAAATAAAAATAAAAATAAAAAATTTGAAGTGCTAGGCACTAAAGAAATGCAAATTAAGACAACACTGGGATTCCATCTTACTCCAAAAAGAAAGAAATCAAATAATAACGAATGCTGGTGAGGCTGGGAGTGGAGAAACCCTTCTATATGGCTGCTGAGAACATAAACTAGTATCACCACTATGGAAATCAGTATGCAGATGCCTCAAAAACTAAAAGGAGTAATGTCAGCTCTTCCCCTTCTAGGCATCTTCCTGAAAGAGTTAAAGCCATCATATTACAGTGACACATGCGTACCCATGTTTATAGCAACACAACTCACAATAGCTAAATCCTGGAAGCTGCCTGTATGTCCATTAACAGGTGAATTTAAAAAATGTGATAGTATACACAAGGGCGTCCTACTCTGCTACAAAGAAGGATACACTTGAATTATTTATAGGAACGATGCACCTTGAGACCATAACATCAAATGAAAAAAAAAACCAGACATAAACAGGCTTAAATATCATATGGTTTCTCTCAGATGAGAAGCCCAAAATATAAAAAAAAAAAAGAAGAAATAAAAGACAGATAGTAGGAAATAGGAGTAGTTTTGCAAATTGGAAGGGGACCAAGAGATAGAGGAAGGGATAAGAAGAAGAGGATAAAAGCCAAGGGGTGAAAAGGAAATTGAGATGTGTTGTGTACCTGTACCAATTCCCCACAGGGAATGTGATCGTTAGGTGCTGAAAGGGGGTAGAGTACACTAGGGATATAACTCAGTGCAAAGGCCCTGGGTTTAATCCCCAGCAGCAAGAAAAGAAAATTCAATTTCTGATAATAAGAAACTGAGTGAATTGTTCATTTACATGTAATGGACTCTTCAGTGTCAACTTAAAATATCGCAAACAAATTTAATAAAGATAATTCTACAATGCATTTTACATAATGTTACCACAGAGTCATCAAGAAAGTGTCAGAAGTAGTTCCTCATCTAAGTTAAATTTATTTCCCTGAAGGCTTACAAACCAATATTTAAATGGTTATAGTCCAGATTTTAAATTTAAAACAGACAAATAATATACAAACTTAGAGTAAATTCAACAAACGTTTACTGGGTAGCTCTCACAGATCAAATAATATTCTAGGCACAGCAGACATAGCCATGAATGAACAAGACACTACCTTATGGGAATTTATAGTAACTGTAGTACCTTCTTTACTTAATTCAGATCCACCTATGTATGTCAGATTCCCAGATCTCTTCTCATTCTAAAGAAACAACTACAGCCAGTATTAGTCACTATTAATTGACACAGAAGGTCTTACCACTGTAGTTTCACAATTCTTAGCTTTTTTTACACAATGCTCTTCCTAAAATTTATACTCCCTAAAAAATACTAAATCCCCACAGCTTGAAGAATTTTCAAGCATAAGAGATGTTCAGCAGACCTGTTACTGCTAGAGTGAAAGGAGATTTGTTTATCCTATTCATTAAATCAACAAAATACTTCCTGATAACAAGGTCAAAGAATGAGATGGACTGAAGAGCAAAATGAGAAGTCCTTTAGTTTCAGCGCTTTGTTTACACATGTATGTTAATGAAGCATGAGATAAGAATGAGGTCCAATTTCTCTTTACACAGGTAGAATTTAAGTTAGGTTTCCAGAAGGACTTAACAAGTTCAAATAGCTTTACCCTGGTCCACCTGCCAACTTGCAGGTACGGTTCTTAGAAAAGCAAATGTTCTTTCCAAGTCTTTCTTGTTTGCATCAGTTATAGACACTGCTTCTTTAAAATGGCTTACAATGCAAGACCCTGAATAAAATAAATACTCGAAAGAATGAATGAATATCCGGAAAGTAGCCCAGTGTAAAAGCCATGGGCCCAGAACAATAACATTAACAACAAAAAAGAGCTTTTAATATTTGCCTTATGCACTTGATAAATCATATCATGACTGTAAAGAATGCCTCTACAGATAAGAGTTAAAATAGTGAATACAGTATCTCTAGTTTTCAAGACCTTAACATCATTTACAGAGTTAGTTAAAAACTTAGGATTGTCAATTACAACAATGAAAACTGTAGTAGATACAGAAGGGAATTTATTTAAAAAGCAAACAATTCCAAGGCCCATCTTCAAAAAATGTATATCTAGATTCTAAACTCCAGAACGTATTTGTCAATTTAATAAATATTCAGTTCTACAAGATGCAAAAATTACTCAAATGGTTTACAATAAAATAATCAGGACAAACTTGGTCCCAGCCATCCTATAATAAAACATATTCAGGACAAATGGAAACTGGAACCAAGTTGAAGTCAAGCCAGTTTAGGACCTTTCAGCTCAAAGAGCCTACATGAATGGAGGTAAAGTTATAAATGAAGGACATAAATACACAGTTGAAGAGAACTGGAAAGACCAGTGGTAGACCAGTGACGGCGAACCTTTTAGAGCAGTCATTTCATTTCCGAGACTCAGGTTTTACTTTAAAGTCAGTTAAAATTCCCAAACTGCCTACCACGGGAATTTTCATGGACTATGCACTTTAAAAAAATGGTTTTGCAAACTAAATATCTCATATAGTTAATACACATTTTAGTAATGATCCATTTTTGGTTTCATAAAATAAAGGAGTTAAAACAATTTTATAGTTCTCTTCTCCACTGTATTATTTATGAGTTAACTTAATTAACTGGGCATAACTAGATCAACCAGTAAATTATTACAATAAACCAAGTATGAGCTAAAACTGATGTAAAGTATTTTTTAAAGAGGGAGGGCAGATTGAACACAACATAAAGTCGAAGTGACGGCTAATAGAGAAGTAGTCAAAGGTAATCAGGTGTTTGATGGCATTCTTCAGGTAATCCGTGGTGAGGACAATCATTATGCTAGAGGAAATTTTTTTGTTATAGTCAGAAAAATATTTCCCAAATAGTTCCCAAATGAACTTAGAAATCAAACTGATGATAAGCCATGGAAACAGAATGCGATATAAATTGATAAGAAGTAGGACTTAGTGTTTCCAAAAGATAATTTGTAAAAAAAAAATTATAGAAATTTCTCTTCGGCAATTAGCATGTAGTCTGAATACTAATTTAAATATATATCTTAAAATGATGCTTTAAAAACTCAGACTATTTTCTAATAACTAAGCATGAAGTAAAAAAAAAATGAAAGCTGCATAAGTGCTCAAGCTGCATTTTCAACAAAGGTAAACCAACTGTTATGGATCAACACTCTTGCTTGATGACAAAGAGTTGGGCAAAAGACACACATTAAGTATAGTTTTAAATGATTTAAAAAACATCAAAGATATCACCAATATTTTGGAAACGTTTTGCTGAGTAACTACTAAAGCTAAACACATGTCTAATTTTCAACAGTTTTATTCCGACAGATATGTAAGAAGGTTCACAGTAGCTTTCTCACAGGAGCCGAAAACTGAGAGCCCAAAAGTTTATTAGAAGTAGAATGAATAAATAAATTGTGATATATTCATTTAGTAGGTTACCACTACAACAGACGGAATACTAATTTAAATACATATCTTAAAATGCTGCTTTAAAATCAGACTATTTTCTAATAACTAAGCATCAAGTAAAAAAAAAAAATGAAAGCTACATAAGTGCTGAACCTGCATTTTCAACAAAGGTGAAAGAGTACTTTCCAGTAATGGTCACTACAATATCTCTGGTCCTACGTACTCTTCCAAAAGAATCTTGTCTCTCCCAATCAAGAAGCAGAATCCAGTCAGGCTTGGAGGCGCAAGCCCGTAATCCCAGCACTGGGGAGGCTGAGGCAGAAGGATTGCCAAGAGTTCAAGGCCAACCTGGGCTACATAGTGAGTTCAAGACCAGCCTGAACTACCTAGTGGGACCCTGTCTCAAAAAAACCAAAAAACGAACAGACAAAAAGCAGAATCCATCTCCTCTTTTAAAGAGTAGGCTTACACTACTGCCTTAAAGAAGAATATGCAATGGAAATAATAACACATAAACTCAGAAGCTAAGTAATAAAAACCAACACAACTTCTGGCTCACATTCTGTCCCTGATTCCTTCATTAATCCTCTCCCTTTTTCCCTGGAATCAGCCACAAGACTTACGCTGTACAAGCTCAGGCCATACTTACTTCAAGGCCACATGCATATGTCTCATCATCAAACACCAGACCCAGGAGAAAGCCTTCAGACAGACAGCTCTAGGCGCAGCCTTTCATCACCCTAGCTGAAACTAAATGAAGCAGAGACAAGCACTGAGCAAATTGTAGATTTGTGAACTAAGTCAGTGTTTTAAGTCACTTGAGTTCTGAGGCAATTTTTGTACAGCCATACTAACTAGTACCGGGCAATAAAAGAAACGTGCACAACTACCTGAAATTCAACAAGCTACAACACTGAAAGATGTCATATACAAAAAAAAAAAAAAAAAGAGTATATAAAAAATATACTTTTTATGAAAAATTAGAAACTGCAAAACTACTCTATAATGATTGGAAAGACACTGTGACCAGAAGCAAGAAAGGAAGATGGAAACAACTGAGAAAGAGTATGACAGAGCCTTCTGAGGTTCCAAAACTGTTTTGTATGTTTGAGTATGATTACATAGTCAAAGATTCTCAGGATGTACATTTAAGATTAATGCATATTATTGCATGTACATTATAATTTTTTTTTTAAAAAGGAGAGAGGATATGGTAACAGTATCAAAGAACTAACCCAACAATGAGGAATATCCAACCATAACAACTCCAAGAGAGAACAAGAATCTACCATGGAAAGCATAGCACCCCGGGGCTTCTTTATTCTAGGAAACATTTATCTAATCAAAACAGGCACCTGAGACTAAATTGTATGTGGGAAGCCTTGAAGGCTAGCAGTATAAAATGTCAGAATAAAAGAATCCATCAAGGAAGCCATCTTCGGCTTTGGCAGAAGACCTCAAAAAAAAAAAAAAAGAATCCCAAAAGAAGATGAAGAGTGGGGGAAACCTGAAGATAAAGCCTACTCTTGCATAGACTTCCAAAAGAAAAAAATCTCAATTTTGATAAAAGGGATCCCAACTGCCTGGCAAAGCAAAGGAAAAATCCTGATTTCCTTACCTAAACATACATTTCTAAAACCATGAAACTTGTTGATAAATAAGAGTATTAATCCAGAGTAGAGCTACCATGCTTGTTCTGTCCAAGGAGAAACGTACAAAGCTGAAAATTTTTGATATGGAAGCAGATAGTACTAAAAAGCAGCATAGTGTACTTGAAAAAGAACCAAAATAAAATTCTAAAAGTGAAAAATATAATTACTAAAATTTAAAATCCCAGGAAATATATTTTAAAAGTTTATTCAATAAAGCTGGATGTTAATTTAATAAGCTAGAAGACAGGCCAGAAGAAAATATTCAGAACAAAAAGGAACATAAAGATGAAGAAAATAAAAGAGGTGAAGCACAGTAAAAAGATCTAGCATTGTATAACTGAGCTCCAAGAAAAGTTAATAAGCAACAGGGAAATCCAGCATTTTAAATAATGATGGCTGAGAACTTCCTAAAACTGATGAAAGACATCAAGTTACAGTGTCAAAATGTAGACCTTAAGCAAGAACAGAATAAGAGGAAAGCAAGGATGCAGAAAGAGAAAAAAGGGAGGGAAAGGAAAAAAGGGGAAAAAAGAGGGAGAAGGAGAGAACCATCTAAAATCCAAAAGCAAAAGAAAAGTCTTAAAAATACCTGAAAAAGGCACAAATTACCAACAAAGAAGCAATAAAATGCAGATGACATCTAATAGAAACACAGAATACAAAAAACATATATAGAGGGGCTGGGGATTTAGCTCAGCGGCATAAGCGCCTGCCTTGTAAGCAGGCAGTCGTGAGTTCGATCCCTAGTACCGATAAAAACGAAAAAGACAAAAAAAAAACAAAAAAACATATATAGAGAGAACATATATGGAGCTTAGATATATACGGATTGATCTCCAAGCTGATATTCTATACACAGTAAAATATAGCTCAAGAACATAGGTGAGGGGCCGGGGATACAGCGCCTGCCTAGCAAACACAAAGTCGTGAGTTCGATTCCTAGTATCCTCCTCCACCCCATACCACCAAAAACAAAAAAAAAAAAAAAAAAATCTGTCAATATTAGATCTGCTCTAAATACTAAACAGTGTTCTTCAGGCAGAAAGAAATTATTGTAGAAGGAAGATTAGTAACACAGGCAGGAAAGAAGAAAAGAAAAGACAGTAAGTAAAAACAGAAATACTGTATGTCTGTAGAGTTTTTTTAATATATGCATTTTAAAACATACTAGTCATTAAGGAAGACTGAAAATTGAACTAAATGTATATTTTTGTTATTTTTAAAATACAGTTTCACTGTGTGGTTCAAGCTAGGCTCAAACTCATGGCAATCCTCCTGCTTCAGTCTCTCAAGTGCTGGTCTTACAGGTATGCACCACCATACCTGGCTGAACTAAAACTCAATGTTTTTAAAGGTCAGTTGTCTAGCAAATGGGTAAAGTCTCAATTAACAATACACTTTGATGAGTCAAAGTATATATTAAAATTTCTTATGTGAACACTATAGGAATAGTAAGAGAATATATAATAAACTAATAAAAAATAAAAACCAATTTTTAAAAAAGAAAGAAAAGAAGAAGCCAGGCATGGTGATGCATGCCTGTGATTCCAGCTCTTATGGGCTGAAGCAGCAGAATCACAAAATTGTGGCCAGTATGGACTAAACAATGCATTCAAACCCAACCTAAACCTGAACTTGTCTTAAGGAAAAACAACAATCCAAAAAAAAAAAAGGAGAAAATGATTATTTTTAAAAATCAGTACAAAACTAAAAAAGAAAAGAGGTAAGACAGATTTCTAATTTTTAATCATTTGTGCCAACATAATTATATAGCAATAAATAATTGGGTAGCCAATTCTAGTTAACCACAATCTCATCTTTATAAATTTTAACCTCCACTGCTATTTGATTTTTCCCTGTGATTGACTTTTTAAAATTTTATTTATTATCTTACTATGAATACACTACTGTGCATTAAAATGTCCAAAATCCAAACAAGATTAAATAAGAATGAAAAGGTTAGAGAGCCAACTGACTTATTTTACTCCATTAATTTCACAATATTAATTTGCCATCATGGAGTTATATAACATTACTAACGGCAAAGTTAACATATTTAGAAGTTTTAAAATGATATTCTTTCACTTATTTCATGAAAACAGTACTGTAATGTTTTTAGTTCACTTGTTGATTCAGTGAAAGGAAATTCCAGGATAAAATTTTAACTTTTTCTAAACTATTAATGTCAGCAAAAAACAGGTACAATGTGTAGCTTTATCAGAAAATAACTAAAGTCTTTTTAGAATAAAAACAATAAAACAAGACATAAACTCTAGAACCAATCTTGACCTTTCCATTGTAAATGAAAATAGCTGCACACTTACTAAATGTTTTTGTTTTGCAGTTTTACAAAGAATATGCATTTTAAATAAGGCAGTCTAAATTCCACAGAGAATGCAATCAAAATACTATTCAGACATAATCTTTGTAAAGAAATTAAAGTCTCTAATTATTAAATGCATAATATTTAACCCCAGTTTTAGAACATATAAATTAACACATAAACATGTATAAAAGCAGACACCGAAGTGTTCCAGTCATTTCCAGTTTAAGTGTGATTAGGGTCCAGCAAGATGACTCCCTTTCTGTAATTACTATGGAACAAAAGCAAGCCACTTCACTCAGGTGACTAGAAAATGGTGCTGGCATCCCTCTCTGAATAATGGACAACAGCCAAGCATGAAGTCCAATTCTGTAATTCCCACACTCTGAGAGGCTGGGGCAGGAGGAGTGCAAGCTCAAGCCCAGCCTGAGCAAGATGGCAACACAGCAACTTAGACTCAGAATAAAGAGACTTGGGGGATCCAGCTCACTGTGAAAGCCCTGGGTTCAACCCCCAATAGATGGCCTCTCAAAAAAATGACTGCTTGTATGCAACACAGGGAACTAATACACATTCTTATATAACCCCTAAAATAATTTTCTTAGCTCTGCTACTGAATATATGGTATTTTCTCACTTTCAAGACTTCTCATTTCTCCCAACACTCCTTTTTCACCTCCTGTCTCCCCTCATTCTTAAGACCTTAACTACTTCCTCAGGGAAACTTGCCCTGATTCCTCCAAAATCAAGTTATGATCCCTGGGTTATTTGCATAGTTCCCTGTACTTCACTTCAAAAGGCCAAACCACTTGTTGAAAACAAGGTAACCAACACAAATTCTGGGAGTACACAGAAAGCACTCAAATATTCAATGAATAAACAAAATTGAGCTTATAATTTCCTCCAATTTTACAAAGAAACAAGCTTCCAAAATTTAAGTACAGAAATTCACATGAAATGATATAGCCTGGCAGTGACATGTCTATGATTCTAATTCACATATCCTAATCTCCTGCACTGGCATGCCACAAGGAAATGTGTTAAAAAGTCAGACTTCAAGTTATTATTTTTGTATTGACTTCTACTATAAAGAAAGGGGGTGAATATAATTAAATCACATCTGAAATTGAAATCTACTTTCCAAATATCACATTGAAAGGACAAACTGTAACTTTCTAGTAATTAGTGGTCTGAATTGCAATTACAAAACAAAAATGATTTCAAGTGAATCTGCAAACATAAACCCCCCAAAATGTAATCACCTGTCTCTACCTGAAGTAGCAATTCTCAAAACCTCTGTATTCTTGTCAGCTTCAAACTGCCAGAACATTCCTCAGTTTTTAAACAAAGTACTTTTGTTTGTTCTCAGTTTGAACCTACTGGCCTTTTTTTCACCCATCTTTACTGGTTACAAATGTAACAGTAATTTGACACAGATGGCAAACCCAGAACAATGCAAATTCTGGTTAGCACAGTAGACCCAGATTAGATTTGCTGTGGCTGGTAGCTCTCTTGGTTCCCAATAATACTTAAAAGATGATCTGTCAATACGCAGTGCCAAGTTTGACATTTCTACTCACTGGCTTGTTTAACCAAGCCAGTCGTCCTCAATAGGAAGATATTTGCATCACAAAGCATAAAGCTAGTGCTGAACTATCCTTACCAGAAACAGGTACAACAAGGTTTGACAGTCTCTAGCTAAAAACAGTCAGTAGGCTTGATACTAAGGCTCAGGGCCCAAATTCTCAATGTTTGGCAAAAAAAAAAAAAAAAAAAATGGCTCTTTGAATGCCTTTGTGACAACTCATTAATTCTTTAAACACACAATCAGCAAAGGAATTTCTGTTAACTGAGAATCTTTGCAATCAGGGTCTTTTTCCTTTAAAAGTTGATTTATACTTTTATTAGTTCAATTTTGTTTTTCTCTTGTGGCTCTAACCCTGGTCCTAATCTTAAATGATGAACTGCACCATGTTTACAACTTCTATTACAAAAGAATGGCACACTTGAAAATACTTTTGTTAATTTTAGGTCGGAAAAAAATAAAAGCAAATTAACCAGTGATCATTTGATACTGCCTTATTATTTCTCTTATTAAGATGACATCAAGAAAGTACAAAAGCACCCTGACTTCTTGACAGAGCATCCCTCAGATTCAGTATGTATAGGAAGGAGGCCGTTGAGTAGGGTGATCTTGAAAGTCCTGTGCAACTTTTCTCATCTATGAAGTACTAAATATCCCAAAGATTGTATTATTTTTATAAAAGGATCGATAAAGAATTCAAATCATTTTCTTCCAACAAGTAAAATATTTAAGACATTGTCCCACGCCCCCTCCCCCCCGCGCGCCCCATTACGTCTTATTTCCCAAGACTGGGAATTGCCCCAATTCACTGAGCCTCCGGTCCGCGCAAAAGCCTTCCACCTGAAAAGCATCGTCGAATTAAAGGAAGAAAAGATAAGAGGGGGACGCCTCGACCTTCAAATTACAGAAACGTCCACCCATCGAGTTACAGACATCTCTCCTTTTCTAGTACTAAAACACCTGCGAGTAACTCGTTCTCACGCATTAGAAATGTCGCACCATTCCACTGTTGAGAGCTACAAACTGTTTTGCAAACTTTGCAAAGGCGCACACGTTCCCAGGCTTTCCAAATCCCTCACTCAGCCCATCCTCCCCGTCGCCCGTCGAAACAAAGTTCCTCCGCATCAAGGCAATAATTTTAAAAGAACGAACTTTTCCTTGGTCCTGCCCACTTAGACTCTGGAGCACGCAACTGAAACTTGCTAGGGAGACGTCTCCCCCGGGACCGAAACTTGCACCAGGGGGAGGCGTGCAGCGGGTTCCGCCTCCCGGGGCTGCGCTGCCCTGGGCCGTTTCCCCGGG